CCTTTTTTTGGTTGTTATTAAAGAGATCTTCGTAATGTTCAGTACCACTGAGCTGTAAGATGAAGTACAAATTACTTTGCACAGCATGTAAGGCCCCGACCATCTGGCTTCCCCCTAGCTGAACCTCTGGTGTACTCTGTGCTTGGTCCTGTTGCATATGCCACAATGTTTCCTCTGCTCTGAATACCCCCACCCCCACCCCTGCCTCCAGCCCCCAGCGCTCAAATAGCTACTCCATAAAATCCTTCAATCAGAATAAAATCCAAACTCCTTTCCAAGTCCTACAAAGGCCTTACATGATTTTTTTTCGGTCTTGTCTTCCTTTATCCTTTACCTTTTCACCAAGCTCTTCCTGTAACTGCCTTCTTCTCACTCATTCCAGGTCGCAGATCAAATGTGCCCCATGAGAGACTACCTCCCCCAGTCATTTTCTTAATCATATTGCCTTAGTATATATCCTCTGCACAGCACATGTCATTTCCTGAAATTTCTTATTTATTCCTTTATATCTTTATTGTTATGGCTCTCTCATCTAGAACTGAAGTTTCTTGAGGTTAGGGACTCTGCCTTCTTGCTTAACACTGTCTCTTGCCTAGAACCTGGTCCTCAGTAAATATTTGTCGATTGATTGGATTACCTACCTACCCTCTCCTTTGGGCCCTGTTCTCCCTATGTCTTCCTTAGCATTTATACTTTGCATTGAAGAATCTTTGCAATCTCTGGTGCTGGACTAATAGCAGGCATTGTAAATGATTAAGACAGCCCAGGAGTCCACTTGAAGAGACTTGTTGATAGAGCATGTTCTTTTTTTTTTTTTTGCAGTTTTAATTTTTTTAATTTTCTTAATGGAGGGGTAATTAGATTTACTTACTTATTTATTTTTAATGGAGGTACTGGGAATTGAACCCAGAACCTCATGCATGATAGGCACACACACTCTACCAGTGAACTAAACCCTTCCCCAATAAGAGCATGTTCTGCTACCTCTACCCAGTCATTTGTTGCCCATTTGAAATGATAACAACAATTAGCGTTTATTGGTAGGGGGCCTATATCTTCCTGGTTTTTCAAGAAGAGTTAGAAATCTGGAACTTTTATGTTATTTCCCTATTTTAAAATGTTGGCAGTTCATTCACATTTAAAAACCAAACAAAAAACACTGCAGACCAAACAAAACAGGTAAGCGGGGCTGCTTTGGTTTATATGGTTTTTCTCTGACTAAACCTGGAGCTACTTATGGTCCTGCCCTTAAGACCCTGGTTATGAAATGCTGGATGGATGGTTGCATGAATGGATGCAACAGTCATTTCCTCTTCTGCTTCACCTTCTTGCTCCACAATAAAATAAAGTAATGCCTTATGTTTCTGTAGCATGTTGCAGTTATGAAGTGCTTTTATATACATTGTTTGACTTTTTTTAAAAGCCTCAGTACTGCCACCATCAAACTGTATGAATGTGCTCCTTAGCCCTCGGTTTCACAGTGGATGAGAGGGAATAAAAATGCTGGAAGTAAACCATGAAGTGATGAGTGTTAGGCTTAATTCTCAGCCTGCTTTTCAGTTTTAATCAGTATTACTCTTGCCACACTGATCTTATGCACAGCTACATGTGTGAGAAAGCATGCTTTTAAACATGCAGTATTATTTGTTTCAAATTAGTGAGACAATGCACTATCTATTAATTGTGCACAATTTATGGAAAATACAGTCGATGCTGAGGTTTTAATTAGATCTTGACTCTTCTGCCTAAACTTGATTTCTAGTTATTGATCTGGCCCCCATCTTACCTGTTTTCTAGTTGTTTCTAAATTTATGTAAATAATAATATATATTTTATATTATATATTATATAAATAATAGGGACCTTGACACCATTTAAAATTCAGCTTAAAATACTTTTTATAAAATGGATAATGATTATAAACATTAAAATGTCTGCACAGTTCTTTATTTTCCTCAATCCTTTATCCCCTTTTTTTTTTCTTTAACCAATTTTGTTCTGTTTCCATTTACTGGAAGTGGGAGGGGTAATCAGCTAAACCATCTAATATGGGTGAAGAAAAATATGAAATCAGTTGATCATTCTGGTGCTCATAGAAGATAGTAGCTTCAAAAGACATTGCTTTGGCAATTTTATGAATTGCATTTTTTTTCCTGTGACTAGGAAGCATGCTGTCAGGCCTCTCAGTTTGTAGATAACATTCCTCAAAGTAGTTATATCCTCTAAGGCAGTGATGGTGGGGATTGAAGGGTAAGGGAAACAAGAGGCATGTTAGAGGGACTGGGATGGGTGACTGCAGGTGTGGTTTGAAAAATCAATTCAATATGCATATTATTTTATAATACAATTTCACTGGACCCTTAGTAAAACCCAAATCTTGGGTTGACGATATACATAGATAGGGTGGGACAGAAGTTAATATGCTAAAGGGGAGGGTATAGCTCAGTGGTAGAGCACATGTTTAGCATGCAATCCCCAGTACCTCCACTAAAATAAAAAAATAAACCTAATTGCCTCCCTAAAAAGAATAGTTGAAGTTTTTGTTTTTTTTTTAAGTGCTAAGAAGTTAATGTGCTCAAGCCAATACTGGTTAGAGACTGTGCGCCAGGACAAAGGGTGGGTCTCTGATGGAGTGGATGGAGCACTTGATAAGAAGGTGGGAGATGTGGGTTTGAGTTTTGGTTTTGCGGCCAGCTAGAGCTGTGACTCTGGGTAACTCACCTGGCCTTTCTGAGTCTCAACTTAATCTGTAAAATGAGAAAATCAGATAGTTAGTCTCTGAGGTCTTAGGCATTTTAAGTTTGCCTCCAGTTAAAGAAAAGCTCTGTGAGCAGCTGGGTCTGACTGGTTATCAAGATAAGAGGGTATAGTTAGGGGATCCAAAGTGAAAAGTTACAGGGGGAAAGTATACCTCAGTAGTGGAATGCATACTTAACATGTACAAGTTCCTGGGTTCAATTCCTAGTACCTCCATTAAAAAAATAAATAAAATAAAAAAATACATATGGATATCAGTGTCACGAAAGATAATAAAAAGATGGGTGTTACTGTACACTGGAGATTGACACAACATTGTAAATTGGCTATACTTCAATAAAAAATAAGTAAGTAAATACTTGAAAAAAAACAAAAGTGTCAAGGTGAAGAGTTACAGGTTTTTCAGTCAACCTTTATCAGGGTATTATTTGTGCTTCCTAACAAATCAAATAGCAGAGAAGAACTTACAATGAAAAAAACATGTCTCCTGCCATTTCTCTTTCTTTTCCATCCCCAGCCTTACTGTCCAGAGATAACGTTTAAAACCTATTTCACTATTTCTGTGTTTAGCTTCTCTTGGAATTACTTCCATAACGCTTAATAATGTGTGTAAACTTCTGTTTCTTGATTTCTCAACTTTAGACAATATCTGTGGACTTTTTTAACATAAAAAATAAGAATTTAACTCACTTTTTCTACCCCTTCCTCTCTCCATTTCCAATTATTTGATATTTATATTATTTTTGAAAGTCTTTTATTAATTATCTTTATCATTTTAAATGATAAACTTTTATTTTTTGAACCACCAACCTTCAATAGGGTCCAACTTGCCGTTTTGTAAAGTTGCGTTTTAAATGCCGCATACCACCCACCCTCTTTCTATATTCCAGCTTCTGGGAGCCTTATTTTATTTTTACACCATCAAGGTTAATATTTTCATTTTGTCCTCTGTCCACCAGCAAGTATTATGTGCTTATCTTTATGTTTAGATTGCTGTTTTTACATTACCTTTCTATGGTTGCTATAATAATAGCATGTCCAAAATCACAACTGTATGATTACTCAGAGTTATTTGTTTCTTAAAATCTAAGGATATAATTGGGTATGTACTTAAAGACTTAGTTAATAAAACCATCCATTTACTCATTTATTCAATAGAATATCAGAATTGTCATCACAGTACAATTTGTAATAGTGAAAAATTGGGAACAACCTAAATGATTAACTTTAGGAAATTAGTAAAATAACTACTGTATATTTTTATAGTGAATGCTCTGTAAACATTAAAAAGTGATGTAAGATGTTAATAACATGAACTTTTTTCTATATTAAATTTTAAAAATATTTCTAAAACCGTATGTACACTATAGCCTCACTTGAAAAAAAAAACAAAACAAAACTGTATAAGGAACTCAGGGATGCTAGAAGCATATACACTAAATTGTTAACTTGGTAATGTGGCTATATCAGGTGGTGATGATTTCTGGGTTTTTTCTGACTTGTGTTTTCTCAATTACTCAAAAAGAACATGTGTCACTTTTATGATAATATATTTTTTTAAAACAAAGATAAAACATAAGAATTGCCAGTCATAGTTTTTCTTGGAATAGTAATGTTAAAATTAGGAGTACCTGATAAGAATTCAGTTAATATTTGTGGAATGAATGAGAGAATGATTGAATTGCAGAGATTCGTAGATCCGTGGTATTGACACTTACACATTCATAATTTTATCCAGAAACAAGTCCTAGTAGAGTTATCTTGAAAGAAAAGTCATGTTTTGAGGTGTCCACCAGTATCTAAGAAACAGCTTTAACTGCCTGTTGGCTGTGTAATGGCAGATCCAGCAGGATTGAGGCCCACCACAGAAGCAGCCAGGCAACAATGCGGTATTTCACAGTAAGCAGGATCTGAATGAAAGTGTCCTTTGTGCTTGTGAGACTGAGGGGTGGGACTTGTGGCAATTTATGTTATTTCTCCTTAATGGAAATTGAGGCAGTCGCTAATCCTGCTATCACATGACAACTCCTTATTTGATTTTTTGCAATTTGGGGAGCAGCTGTGGACAAATGATTTTTCTGCAAAAAGAGCCAGCTGCATTCTGACCCATTTGCAAATGCATCGGTGTACTGAACTTCCTGTCCACCATGTTTCTGATCCAAGGAGAGCTTCAGCCACTCACGTATTTTTTATTGATATTTGTAGCTGTTAATAAGCATCTGAATATTTTAGAATGCATTTTCTAATCCTCTTTATCATTGTCATCAACATTCATTAGGTACCTTCCCGCTCAGGGCACTGTGGCATTGTAAGCTGTAATGTGGAGACGACTTTCCTCTCTGACAGGTGGGTCAGCATTAGTGCCCTTAGAATCACTTTATTTTCAGCAGATTAAATTACATTGTAAAGAAAGAATCTGATGTGAAGGCAGCCAAGAACTGTGTTCCTTTGATCCCCAGACTTCTCCTGAGTCCACCATCTGGGTGTTCACTGATGCCCCCTTACCACACCATGTGCTTTCACAAGCTGCTGCCTCAGCCTACAGTCTCCTTTTATCCTGGCACCTGCCAACTCCTGGCTGAAGACTCTGTCTTCTTCATGGAACCTGCTCAATGTCCTTATAGTCCTTTCTTCTCAGTGCTCCCTTAGCCCTTGGTGATGATTATCACTTAGAATATGATTTTTTTTCTTTTTTAAGGAAACAGCTTTTTTAAAGGCAAAAAGCCTTATAACTTAACTTTATTTGTGCTTATTATTTTTTTTAAAGCTCTCTTAACCCAGGATCTTAAAGAAACAGAGGGAATTGGGTAGTCAGGATTTCTGTAATGAGTAAAAGAAAGCTTTACTTTTGATTGTGCACACCTGTAGGGCTAGGGAGAGACACTGTCTTTTTCCTATCTTTGCAGTGTTGAATTATCACCAGGGATGGATTTGCCTGAATTATTGTATGAACCCCTTCTGTTAGAGATTTCTTTAACAATGCTTAGAAGTAAGTCATTTCAAAACATAAGAATAGAATATAGATGAATTGCACTGTTCAGGGTGGTAGCCACAGCCAGATATGGCTATTTATATTAAAATTATTTAAAACTAAACAAAATTAAAAATTAATTATTTGGTCACAGTTGTCACATTTCATGTGGTCAATAGCCACATGTGGTTAGTGGCTGCTATTTTAGACGGTGCACATTTGGAACATTTCCATCACTGCATAAATGACTTTTGGACAGTGCTGATCTAGAACCTATGGAAAAGTTGAAGTATTTGGTGAAGAAAATTCACCTCAGTGTTTTCTGTGGAAGGGTGTTTATTCCAGTTGAAGAATTTTAAAGCAGCCTGAAAGTCCCTGTAGTTGCTTTATATTTTTCTTTGGTTGTGGCACCCTCTAGCGTTTCAGCTTTGGAATAGCTATATCATCATGAAATAATCTATTTGTGATTTGAGTCCAAGAACATTGAAATATTTCGGAAATTTTTATGTACATATGCATTTTTCTAGGGAGGAAGTCTGTAGCTTTCACACATCCTCAAAAGGATCTCTACTTCAAAAAAGAGCTATGCTCTAATAGAGGTCCTTGTATGGTCAAAACTCCAAGTTAATGATTTATACGCATTTTTTCTTCCAATATAAAAATAAGTAATGTAACTTTCCCTTTGGCATTTCTATGCTTTATCTGTCTTTATATGGAGTAATAATAATAGGTTACACTTATCTAGCATTTGTTACATACCATGTCCCATTTTAAGACCTTTTATAAAAATTAATTCACTTGGTCCTCACAGTAATTGTATTAATGTCCCCAATCAAGAGATGATAAAACGAAGACATAGAAGTCAAGTGAATCTAGTCTAAGGTACTAGAAGTGGCAGAGCAAGGATTTGAATCTAGTACTCTAGCTCCAGAGTCTGTACTCTTAACCACCTTGCTACAGACGTGAGGGTAAGCCTAATTTAAGCAGGTATGAAGTGGAATGGAGAGACTTTGTGTACTCTTGGCACGCTCTTGTACTAGACTATCTGGGCCTAGTTGTATAGTAAGAGAAAAAAAAATCCCCTCTAAATTTCTGCAAGCCACACTGGAAATTATAGTTGGTACCTACTATTGATTTTCAGTAGATATGCATAGATCTACATAGTCTGACAAGAACTTAGAATGGTAGTTGATGGTCAAAGCTGTCATTGCTACCACATTTTCTTTGGTTTGTCCAAATACCTAACCTAGTATATTCACTGAATAATATGACAAATCTTCTTGTGATTATTTGTCATTATTTTTTCCATAAAAAAGGCATTTATTACTGTGATGTCAATTTTGAGGTTTGCTAGAATGTTAGATTTAATAAGTATACCTTATTTAAAGACCAGATAAGATAGACTCATAAACAGATAAAAGTTTGTGTTTATATATCTCCTACTTCTCTTTCTGTCTGTACTGCCGTCTCACTTGTCCCATTTCTCTCTTCCTGAGGCATTTTATTCTCTAACTTAGCCTCATTTCCCAATCAAACTCAAGATTTTATACTCAACTTTCATTAGTGTATGGAAATAAACCCTAGTGATGGCCTTATAAAAATGCCCTTAGAATCACTTTACTGATAGTATAAAATAACAATACATTTTATTGTACTGACTTATACAAATCAGTATAAAGTTTTACTGCTTACCAGCACTCTATGAATAATTTCAACAAAGGTACATATTTTCTTCCCTTTGTATCAGTCAAGGCTAGTAAACCATGTGAGGTATTTCAGAGGATTTAATTCTGGGAGTTGGTTACACAGGTGTTGGAAGACTAAAAGAGCAAAATATAGATACTGAGGTAATCCAAATATTAGTAACTACAGGAAGCAACTGCGACCCCTTGGGCTAGGGCAACAGAACAGAAAAACCTAGGAGTTGAGGGGCCCCTGCACAGCTGGTTATCTTACCTCCAAGTGGGATGCCTTGTAGCTGATTCTTAACCACCAGGGGAGAAGGGGCACAGCTGGAGTTGGGAGATGAAGCTGTCCTCTGTTGCTGGAGCAACTTTAATAGGAATGAAAACAGCAGGGAAATCCCTTTGCCTCACCTCTTCCCATCTTAACCCGTAGCTATAGAAAACTGAATATGAAGCTGGCAGGCAAGTCTGATAAATAAGGTTGGCCAGCCCAGCCCAGAGCTGGCTACAGAGCAGTTCAGAACAAGTATAGAGGAGGGTTTGAAAGTTGAGAGATGAGATGAATAGACAGAACAACCTTATAGGAAAATTACAGAAACTGAAGTTGCCTGGGTTTAGCTGTAGTAATTATAATATGCAACCAATTCCCCCCAAGCATATATTAAGGAACAAATTACAGTAGCTACTATTCATGGAGACTTTATGCACTCAAGCCCTGCCTTCAGTGAGCTTATAATATTGTTTTCACAAAACCATCCACTCACCCTTAAGTCATTACGAAGTTGTGTAGTAAAGCTTCTTTTCCTCATAAATTGTATAAAAGCATCATTATTAATTGGATTCTTGGGTTATTAATATTAATGAGTATTTACATATTTTAACAACATTGGAATGAAAAATATTATGTGGTTGTAATCATACAAAATTTTGTTAGTTTCAGATGCTCCAAATAAGGAAGTTAGCCTTACTCAAGGCAAGACAATTTTAAGCTTGAACTGTGCTGTTTTCTTGGTTCTTAGCATGAGGAAGGGACTTGATTTTTCTTGTGACAGTTTGTGCTAGCATGTTATTTAATTTTAAGTTTCAAAAGGATCTCTTTGGAAGGCTGTATTATAAAGTTCATTTTGTTGAAAGTCAAAGTAATACATTCATATGGTAAAAGTTCAAATAGATGGATTTATAATAAAAACCAGTGGCTGTTTGCCATATCCTTCCTCTACACCTAGTCCCACTTTTCAGACATAGTATTTTTAACTATTTTTATTTATAGTTTCTCTATTTTGTTTATAGTATCATCAAATAGTAATACCTCCATAACTTTAAATAATATGCCTATGCTATTTTTTTCTGGATTTATCAACCTTTGGCATTTTAAACTTCATTCTTTATAAGCGCTACCCCATAGGACTCCCTTCCTTTCCCCTCTATTTTGAACAGTTAACTTGTACTCCTACTTGTACTCCTAAGTACTTCTATCTGCTCTTGATAGTGTCCACTGATGCCCTCACTATGTAAAGGTAGCATGTTAATGCTTGAGCCATTCCTCCACCTCTCTGCCATCTTCTACCTCCTCATCTCTCAGCCTTATCTTTGCCTTAACATTACATTGTTTTGTATTATATTTAATTTTCTGTATTTTTATCTACAGTTGGAGTCTGAAAATGGAAAGCGGTAAACTGCATCCGTAACTATGGCTGCTGTTTCTTTTTTTTTCTTCATAGAGCCCAGTGGTGTGAGGATGTTTTTTTTTTTTTCTTTGTAAGTCCTCTTTCACTTTTGGGCTATTTAAAAGAGACTATTCCTAGGAAGTTCATATGGATTCCTCTTGTCTTAAGCTCCATTTATTACTCAGAATTAAACCACATTTTACCTTGCTTCTGTTGTCACTTTGACTTTCTTGTGCAGTTGTTTTTAAGTTTTTCTTGCTGTGATAAAATTTTGATCCATTATTCTGTGTCCCCCAAGAATCAAATAATGTCGTTAGCTTTAGGCTCTTTTGAGAAGGGCTATTCTGTTGAGTAAAATTTCTATCCTAGTTATGAAATTTAGATTCTGGACATGTCTAGGAATTCAGTTGAGCCTCTGGTTTGTGAAATTAAGTTTTCCTGTCCCTGGTTTGGACTGTAGATACAATCTTGCTCTGAGACTGTCCCTTAGGCAGTTCTTGCAGCTTTTCTTTTGATATGATAATGCTATTGATGAGACTAATGCTTTCTTTTATATTTGGTTATACCTTGATTAGATTTTCCAATTTAGATTTTTGAAATGCTCTACACCTAATCTCATTACATGTGGATTAGACTAAATTTAACCCCCTTGGACAGTTCATCCAAATTCCAGTAGCTCCTTAGATGTTGTTGACTGCAACTTGTAACAGGGTGCTCCTGATCAGAAAAATCAGTTTTTTTTGTGTGTTCTCTTCCATTATCGTTAGTCTCATGCCTGCTGGCCCACAGTGGCAAAAGTAGGAACTCCTCTGTACCAAACTGTCCCTCCTCCAATCTCTTATAGATTGTATATTAAAAAAGAACCTTTAGGTTAAGTACATGTTGCACCCCAGGTGATGATCCAGGCTAAGAGTCAGGTTTTAGCAAAATTGCTGCTATGTTATATTATTGTTTGGGGAATGATTTTTTAAAAAATGGAGTGTTGACTAATCTACTGAACATCACTGGTTCCAGGTAATAAAC